AATCAGCAGTTTCAATTTGAGACATATTGTGCAGCCGTGTTGATAACGCAGCACAGCTAACTGCTGCAACCACAGGAAAGCAGTGTGGATGGAGGCGTTGACCACTGCTGCTTTGCAACACACAGATCTTGGGTTTGATGTTTTTAAGTTTCAATAGATGTTACCTTATTCTGTTTTGTAGGGGGTTTTTTTGTAAATATTGAAATGAAATACACTTTACTAAAATTGACTAAATTTACTGCAAATTGTTATTTTTAAATTCTATAGTTTGTTTTTTATAGTGTAGAATCCATTTGTTTTAATCATACAAGCCAAACAAAAAGGGATTTTTTTCACATATTTTTTTTATCAATATTAGCATAAACTATATATAATTTTTTTTCAAGATATCTTCCATGTGAAATGTATTGTATTAAAAATGTTCTGTTTAACATTACAGAAAGACCACATGAAAGATTTTAAGGCTTGTTTTTTAAGCTATACATTTGAAATCAAGAAACCAAGTTTAGCAGGAACAAATTTCTCTACAAGAACAATAAACAGAGGTCATTGTATTTTATTCACTTTGCATTAATGACTTAAATTAAGAGCAGAAGCAATGTCCCATTGTAGTTGTAAAAGAGCAGTTCAACCAACAGGCATCCATGGAAAAAAAAAAGAGTTTCTTTTAACAAAAAAATCTTTTATTAAGCTTCCTGAAACATAAGCACCTACTGTACCTACAAATGATTTCAGTTTCTAACCCTTTAAAGCCTAAACCGTGAAATGATTTTCAGAAAACTTAAAATACTGTTTTCACTGAACACTCAAAGTAAAAACAAAAACATGCTTTTTTAATTAGTTCAATTAGATAAGGTTTCATTTCCATGCAACTTATTATAGATTTTCTGTTAACTATGTGTGTCTGTATGAGCAAGGTTGTCCAGCAACACAAATATCCCACTGATGATGTAGAGTTAAAAAAAAAAAAAAAAAAACTCATGTATTTAATATGATACACTTGGTGTTAAGGGGCTAATGGTCATTCACCATTACTGGTCAAACTGAAATGACTGGATTCCAGTCACCAACCATTCTGTCAGTGCATTGCTTAAATAAATGATGGTAACCATATTATGTAAAAACGTTACTTGTTAAAGATGTCATGATGTTTTGTCTCCAATATAGATTTATCTCGGAGGCTATTATTGTGAGGATTAGTGGATACTTGTTGAGGATCCAAATGCAGAACTGAAGAGGCAGAGATGATATCTTGCTACATTTAATAAGGAAGTAAAAATATAGAATCCGTAATCCAGAACTGATCATAGGAAACGTAAGAAACAAAAACTAGGAGACACTAATGAGGAATAAACTGAAGGAATGAGGAGAATCCAGCAACCAGTAACTGCAGAGGATTATAAATACCAAAGAGAGAAATGAATGGAGTAATCAGCTGATTGGGAGCAGGTGTGGACAGAGGGGTCTAGAAGGGAGCTAGGGGAAAGGAGACAAGGAATACAACAGTGCTTCATCATAATGTATAACTCTAAACGGAAAATAAACTGATGACATGGAAAACGGAATGTAAATCAAAGTGTAACTTAAAACTCAAAAAGAAAAAAGAATTTGTACTCCATTTTGGGAAAGACACTATTGGAATAATGCGTTAGTATGAGAAATAAGGAACAGAATGATCACATTTTGGATAAAGAAAATAGGTGGTTTAAGAGAGAAAAAACAACCTTAAACAGAGGAGGTGGACTCAGCTTTGAGTTATTCCCTTCCAGTTATCATCGCAACCCCAGCCCCTGTACAGGAGAGCAGAGGACCTCACCTATTCAGCCAGGCCAACTATTCCCTTTAACGGCCCCCCTTTTAGACACTTAGAAAGGTATGGAGTATTGCAGGCTAACAAAAGAAGCCAAACAAAGCCCATCCCAAAATGCTGGACCCCTTCGTCCATTTCAATTTGCATTTTTCCAAAATAAAAACAAGGCTTTGTTGGGCTACTGTATAAAACCTCAAGCTCAACACTATTCTTGACATTTTTTATTGAAAAAGCTTCTTAGATGGGAAGCGAAACGTCTTCAAACTTGGAAACAAAGTCCAGTTGATGGCTTTTAATTTTCTTTTCTTTTTTTTGGCAAATTTAGAGAGGGCAGAATCATGCGAATTGTTAATGGAGATGTCTTTACAATAGTAGAATCCACAGGACCAGAATGTGGAAAACTAGCTCAATTTAATAATAAAAAAAAAGTCACCACAATACAGCTTCTGAATATACAATTATATATCTTCTTTAGGGAAGAGTACTCACAATTGGTCTCTTGTTAGAGTACACAGCAAAAAATGAAATCTGATTAAGACAATTTTTCAAGAAATAATTTTTGCTTTAGTTAAGTAGGAAAATTTTAATATTTTAAAAGTTAGGAAAAAAATTTTTTCATTTACATAGCATAATTATCTTATTTCAATTGTAAAATTATTCATTTCATTGGCAGATTATCTTATTAACCTGCTCAAATAAAGGGAAAATCCCCTTTTTCAGATTTTTGTACTTATTTATTGATCAGTGTTTGCAGTGTATAGCACTCCTTCATATTCTCTATTCAGATAAAAAAGATTACTCAAATAAAATGAAAAAGTTATTTGATAAAAAGAATACAATTTGTGTTGTGCGTTTCCTAAAAATGAAATAGGTACAGACGGCAGTTTAACGTGCACAGATCAAATAGCAAAAAGATCGTTTTTGTTTAAATTTGGAGCTTAATGGGGAGATGATTGACCTGCGGGTGACCTTTTTTTTGTTTTTTACTTTTTTTACAAATAACCATTTTAAGTGCACAAACCTGCACTAAAAAAAACAATAACCATTCAGTCTATTTGCTGAGTTTTTTCAAGTAGGTATGGGGTCAGCTTCGCGCAGCTGAAGTTCCTCCAGTTTGATGATACGGTCAAAGTTGTAAATAGTGTGCAACTGAAATGCAGAGCAGTAAATTCTTCCTAATGGCAAAATAACAGAATATGGAAATAGAAAAACTAATGAAATGCTTAAGGAAACACAAAAAAGCCCAGCCAATTCTTAAAGTAAACCTAAGAGATAACTAACAGACGAGGTAAATCAAAAGATTCATAAGAACCCCAAACTATTATAAATACTCTATTACTGAGTAACTAATCTTCTTACTACTTGTTACTACAACAGAATCAATATTATAAAATGTATGCAAAGTTGCAAAAAGGTTAAGCTATATGTTAAATTAGGTGCTTTAAAAAATCCATGAATTACAGTAGTTACACAATAAGAGAAGAAGCTATTCTAAAATGTTTCTATACATACGTATATACCTTCTGGGCCCACATCTGGGCCTGCTTTGGGTCTGACCAGCTGCCATGAGGCTGTTGTCGTCCCTTTGCCCCTTTACTCTGAGGTGCGTTTGGATATAGCTCTGGTCTCCTCTGTGTCAAACCTGGGCTCTTTGGGGTTGGTCTGGAGCCAATCACACCTCCCATTGAGCATTTCTTCCTGCTGAAGAAGCCGTATAAACCTTATAGACAAGCACACTTATGGTTATACACCACAGGTGTTCTGCGATTCACAGTTATGCTTAATAGTAAGCTGTAGCTTAAGCAATGCATAGCTTTAAATAACATTATTTGATCTTCATGGTTTTGCTTTCAGTGTTTTTATTCCTGTGTTTCCTGCATGTCGACGGGACACACTGCAAAAAACGTAAATCTAAGTAAATCCGTTTTTTGTAAAATAAGTGCATTTTTCCTTAAATTGAGTAGGTGAGCGAGACATGTTGACAATGGAGTAAGAATTTACATTTAAAATAAGAAAAAACAATTGCAGTCTCTTATTTCGAGTGCATATTATCTGATTATCTTAAGGGGTAAAAAATGTTCATTCCGTTTCAAATTATTTGAATTTCCTACTCAAATTAAGGGGAAAAAACTGTATTTTAAGAAATTTGTACTCATTTTCAGAATGTTTTTTGCAGTGTACTCCATCTTTTATCATGGTTGATGTGTTTTTTCATGTTTTCCTTCTTTTTTTCTGTCAAGTTTGAAAGCAGACTTCCAGGAGTTTTTTTCCAGATTTTTTTTTCTATATTTTCCTTTTTGTCTTTCCCTTATTCTTTCTTTTTCTCTCCCTCTTCCCTTTCTCTATCTCTCTATCCTTTTCTCTGTTTCTCTTCCCTTCACCTCATACCCCCTCTCCCCCTTTCACCTCTCCTTAAGTCTCCATGTCCATTGCATGCTGTTTGTTTTTTTTTTTTTAAGGAACTTCTCATAAAGTGCATTTCTGTTTAAAATAACTTTGTTGTTTTTTTGTTGTTTTTTTTTGAGTGAATTTACTCACGATCGATAATCTGGAATTTTATTCAAGTTAGAGTAGCGACACTTCATCATATTTTAAGTGAAATTAATAAGTGCAATGTGGTAAAATAGTTCTAAACATTTTTTGTTTGTTTTTATCTTAAAAGCTTCTCAACGTAAATAGTTACTACCGACCTCTACTTACACCACTAACAATAGGTATTATTTACCTGCATGATTTTAAATCGGACATCACAGCAGCTGTAATATCTAACATGTATGAGAGGTCCTGAGTATTTTATTATAAAAAAATATACAGTTAAAAGAATGTGATTCAAATATTTGTAGAGAAAAAAAAGTGCAAATATATACAGTTAAATTGACAGGTACCAAAATATATATCAGTGTGTTGTGAGGAAAAAAAGAAAATCTACTTTGCAAATATTTAAAGTGAAAAAGCAAAAAAAATACTAAAAAACTTCAACAGGCTTCCTTACCTAGAAGCCAAGTTACTTTAAGTGGTTCTCTTTAAATTTTAGTGTCCAATTCATGCCAAAGAGTTATACAATACCCAACCTTACTGGAACATTTCTTCCTATCCATAGTTTCACTGGAAAAACAGCAATATTTGTTTTGTTTTATTAAATAAAACAACATGTGCTCAGGTGAAGCATCTAACTTGTTTTCTTTTACAGGCGGCATCACCCGTGACACCTTCCAGAAGGAGCTTTGGTGTTATGACCCAGTCGCCGACTCGTGGAGTCGAAGGGCCGACATGATGGAGCTCCGTGGCCTGCACTGCATGTGCACCGTGGGGGACAGGCTCTACGTGATGGGCGGGAATCACTTCAGAGGCAGCAGTGATTACGACGACGTCCTGGGATGCGAATACTACAGCCCGGACACGGACCAGTGGACGGTGGTGGCCCCGATGCCCCGGGGCCAGAGCGATGTTGGCGTGACGGTTTTCAACGGGCAGATCTATGTGGTAGGGGGATACTCCTGGAACAGCAGATGCATGGTGGACATCGTCCAGCGGTATGACCCAGAGCAGGACGTGTGGGACAGGGTATTCAATGTGCTGGAGCCCCTGGGGGGGATCCGGGCCTGCACAATGACTGTTCATCTGCCGGAGGGGTTGGTGGATGAGGCTGAGATACAAGATTGCCTGTTACCCACGGCTAAGAACTGCTAGCCACACGCACGGGGCTTTCCAGCTTACACCTTGCAATTTGTGGGTTGTAACACAGGTTTCATGTGCAAAAAAAGTCAGTTTAACACAAATCTTTTAACCTGTCATCATTTCCTGTCCTTTTTATAAGCTGTTAGCCATGTAGCATCCTTCATTCTCTGCTGCCTGTGTTATTTCTAAGGTTTGCAATAAAAGATCAAACCAGCCTGGGGTCGTTTCACTAAACACTGAAGAGTTCTGTTTTACAAACAAACCATCAGTCAAACTAATTTATCACCATTAAAATTCTGTCATAGAAAAGGATACTGAATAAAATCACAGCAATAAAACAAAAGCTTAACAAGAGTTGCCTTTGTGGAACATGGACTTCTCCTCTACAGTAAGAAACGCTCTAAAGGACTGAACCGAATTTGCGGAATTGAAATAAGGGTGATGCTGCGTGTGTGCTGAAAAAGCCACAGAGAGGCTCGCTTGTGTTTTTATAAGTGAAACTTTTGTAGCTCAGTCATGAGACATCAGCCCCTGCCATTGCTACAAAGACCACATGTCGTTTTCATGTCAGAGAAGTGGAACTCACTGTCCTCTATTTAATTAGGCCTCTAAGCAAAATCTGGGCTTTCAAACTGCTGGTTTGGATCTGCTAAATTGTCAGATCCTTTTCTACTAACTGAGAAGATCCACACTTGCTGATTGATGTCAATGTGAGGAAAAGTGAAAAAAGCCCCACAGCAGTTTGCTGTTGAGGGATTTTTTTTGTGTGTTTTGTATCACAGACAACACGCATATGCTCTGCATATCACAAGCTAAGCCTTATCTTAAACCAGGCAAAACACACACACATACTCTTGGCTGTCTGACGACAAAAACTACCCTTGAAACTTCATCCTTCACCTCCAGATAAGAGAACAGACAGCTGTGATTATGGCTGCTATGCCAAGGCCTTTTCAGCTGTGATCGAGACATCTACCTTGGAGCACAAAATGCAGACAATAAAAAAAAGAAAAAAAGAATGACGAAGGCTAATTTGACCGAACAAATAAAGAATAAACTTTATTGGATTTTTGCTCTTATTTTGAAAAGGTAAATAAGATGATCTGCCAATGGAATAATGGCATTTTTCCTTAACACATAACCCTGCAACACTTTCAAATTAAGACTCCTTAAACTAAGATATTATGATCTTGAAATAAGTCTTTTTTTTTCCCTCGTTTTAAATGTAAATAATCTTATTTTATTCAAACATTATATTACCTATCTGCTCAAAACAAGTAAAAATAACTAACTTGTTTTTCTGTTTCTGTAGTCCGGTAGCTCATTTCCTGCAAAAGTGCAAGCAAATTCTTACTATCTCAGATCTAAGTTTAAAAAAAGTTCCTTTGATCTTGATAAGAGATTGATATCAAGCAAGAATAGATTATGTTAGATTATTTATGTTCTGTTGAAAAATGCTATTCAAAGTAAGTGCAACAATCTTTCAGTGCAGAATGATAACTGCACTTCTTTAACTCATGGTATATAATCTCAAAGCAAGTGCTGTTATTTTACATTACTGGTAGATCATTGCACTTATTTTGAGTAAAATTTTCTTAAAAGAAGATTAATAATCTAAAAGATAACAAGACCAAAACAACTTTTAGGCTAGATATAGGATGGTAAAGCCTGGTTAGATGGATACACTTTTTGAAATGGCATATTGTTGCATTCTTATCTTTTATTCATGTGTTTTACAATTTGGTTAGGTCTGTTTGTTAGTGAACCTATAGCGCTTGGAGAATAACCTAGATGACCTGGCCGGAGGTACAATATTGTGCATGAAAAGTTTGTTTACAAGGAGCCAAGAAACTCCCAGTGGAAGTGTGAAAATAAAGATATAAAAAGTCCATGATCATGTTTGAAAACGTGCAAAAATAATTGGATGCCAAAAAAAACTAAGACACAAGCATGATTTGAAACAAGATGTGAAAGTTGACACAAGCAAAGCTGCCAAATTGATAGATGCATAGGTAGGTACTGCCCTCAGATGGCGACGGCGTACAGCAAAGTTTCTGTCTACAGGTCGCTCCTTGCAAAACTCTGTCTCAGGCTTAAAAACGGCCGTTTAGATAAAATTCATCAGGAAGAAATTCTGGCGTAAAAATTATTTAAAGAATAACAGGGCCTCCTATGAAAGACAAGGTCACTGTTATACAACATCTAATTTCATTATTTCTTTTAATTTAGCGACTGTTAATTTCTCAATAAATGGATCGCTGAAGTTAGTTTATATCATGGTGTTAATACAAACATTAAAGTATAAAATCATATTTAGTAAATTAAGGAATATCTTGTCAGGTGATATGTGGCCTTTTAAAATATCAACCTTTAAATAGCTATTAAAAATGCTTTTCATTAACCCCACATTTCAGGCTGGTGCAGGCCTTCCCTGGACACTGTACATACGCCCAGTGGGCCGACATCAATTTGCTGGCAAGCCTGTCACAATTTAATCAAAAACGTTTATATGAATTGATATGAAATCATTTATCAATTTAGCAAATGATAAAATAATCTGTATGAGTAATGTATTTTGTATATTTTTTATTTTGTGTATTTTTCTATTTTGGTCATTACCAGAATTTTTATATATATATATATATATATATATATATATATATATATATGCTATATATATAGATTTTAATTTTTTTTTCTCCACAATGCTGTGTATCTCCCCATTAAATAAAATTATTCATGGTGGGCTACTGTGGCCAAAAATGCCCAGTGCTGTTTGCTGGACTCAGTCCAGCCCTGGTCTGGTGTAATATTAAAAATCACTAATGTTTTGTTTTTATTAGCTGTAAGTGAAAAATCATTATAATTAATAGTTAGAAGGTCATGAAAATGTGTGAGTAATGTGTGTAATTAATCTATATGATGTCTTTCCCTTGGCCAATTAAAGTTATTTTTTTAATGTTACTTAGTTTTATTGCATAGGCTATAATTGTATTATATATCATGTTTTATAGCAAAAGAATATCCAGAATTCAGCTTGGATATCATGTAAAACATTTTTACACATGTTTATACAATAATGATTGTTTTGTGATCCACATCAACTAAGGGAGGACTGCTACCTTGAAACTTTTCCAGACGACAGTCAGTGACATCCTCAAAAGGACTCATACATTTATTTCTAAATATATGTGCTATTCCATAAACAGAAAGTTAAGTACAATGACGCAGTGTGGTTAAAAAAAAAATAAAAAAAAAAAAGGTCGTCTAAGCATTAGGGAAGACCACATCCTGGAGAAAACAGATTAAAACTGGGGCTAAATTCTGGGCTTTGCTGTCGTTCACTGCAAATATTGTAATCTCTGTATGTCAACTTTTCTTTAAATAAGGATATTTTCCAATGATTTCAGGATGTAAATAAAAGAATTTGCTAATGAAATATGGGATCTATGCTAAACAAAACAAAAAACAACAACAACTTCTTTATCTAAGTTCATAATATCTAATTATCTTGTCTTAGGCAAAATAAATTTCCTACAAATTCTTTACAAATTTTTACTTATTTTTAGATCAGTTTTTGCAGCGTTGCCACCACTCAGACGTATCGCTGCTTTTAAGTAAACATTTCTGTGATATTTAATCTTGAGGTAGAGGATTAAGGGTAGAAAGTGTTAACACCACTTACTGCTTTCTCTAAACAGTTCGAAACAATACCATCATGTGCTGAAATCTAACACCAAAAAAAGGAAATTTTTAATGATTTCATTTGTTTACAACACAGAAAATCTTGAGACGGTTTGTCTTACAAAGTTCCAGCACTTTGACACAAGACATTAAATGTATGATTACTAACTGACTTGTCCCAAATTAAATTCCCTGCCTCCATCAGTGGTAAGAGTGGCTACAAGGTAAAAAAAAAAAAAAAAACACTGACGGTTTCCACAACTCACTCGTTTGACCCCCACTTTATAGTTTACAGAGCAAACAAGGGGCCAGCTACGATTAAACATTTGGCAGAATAAAAACACATCTGGTCGTATGTCAGACAAATGTTCCCTTGAAATGTCTGTGTCTCGTTTTATTAGGTTGATGTAGCCTTGTACTCTTTCACATCACTAAATTAGTTCCCCCTAATGTAAAGATTTTATCATCTTGTGTTTCCTCACTAAGGTTTCTAGATTAGTCCTTATTTGTGAAAAAAAGCCATCTTTATAAAACATTCTAAGATACACAGACAAACAAGGAGTATGAAAGGCAACTTTATTAATAAAACCCTAATTTTTTCTTTTACAAATCCTTTCCATTTGACAAGTAAGAAACAGTGCAGCTGTTAAAAAAAGACTTCATCAAATAAAGTTTGAAATAAACTACTTTAGATAATAACAGGTTTTCTAGTAGGTAAAGTTTCATCAGAGATCACAAAAATCCTTTTAAAGTCGTAGGGAAATCATTTTTAAAAGTCAAATCATTGTGGCTTAAACATGTATAAAATTAAAATGTATGACGAAGGAGACTCATCCACGACCTCCGACACAAAACTCTCCTCCTCTTGCATGTTTCCTCTGTCCATAGTGTTCCTTGACAGTGTAGTTTCTAAGTCACCAATTTAGTGCTACTTGGTCCCAATGGAATTTCCCATTGGGAACCTACTAGCACTAAGTTCTTAACTGGTTAGCAAGATGCTTCCGACAAACTGGTCACAATCAAACTTGCTTGTGAACCTTCCGCCATAACAATCCCGCCTCCTTGATAAAAGCTGAATCGCATTCACTTCATTCATGCATGTAAAGTCATGCACCACTCCGGAAAATTCGGAAATGCAACCATTGGAAGAGCCGTTTCCTTACAACTTTAACAGATATCAGTGTAACTACAGTAAATATATACAGATGACACACTGTTGTGACTGTGAACAATTTCCAGCTAAAAGAACCCACACAAAAATTTGCCAAAGTTTTCTTTGGCTATATAAAAGCAAAAGTTGAGAAAAGCTTTTTAAACAAACGGGAAGCGTTCAAAAGTTAGCTCACAGCATGAATTAATAAAGCTAGAAACAACCAAAAAGGCACTCTACACCTGGGTGAAGAGATGGACTCAGATCTGAATCTCCAGAGGCTCATAAAAACGATAACAAATGTGGCCACCTATCGCTTGGAGAACATTTCCAGGATTAAAGGTCTAATGTCTGCCTAAGAAGTAGATCAGACAGCTGCAGCTGATCCAGAATGCTGCTCCCCTCATCCTCACTAAAACTTAGAAAGTGGAGCACACCACCCCAGCGCTAAACACATAACACCTGCTCCCTGTACCTTAGAGAATAGACTTTAAAATATGCATTTAAGTCTATCAATCATTTCATGGATTAGCAATAAAATACATAACAGACCTGCTGTCAGTGGAATAAAACACCAACCACTCAGGTCCTTTGGCCTTAATCTATTTTCTATACCAGAACCAAACTGGGGAAGCAGATTTTACTTTTATTTTTTGTGCTCCATTCATCTGGAATAAACTCCCAGAAAACGGTAAAGAGCATTTAAACCATTTTGTTGCTTCAAATCAATATTAAGAATGTATTTGTCTAGAGCGGCCTTTGACTTTGCTATCTAAACATTTTAAGTTCCAGTCTTACTTTCATTACATATTCTTAATCACTATTTTTTTTTATTATCAATCATTTTATCTATTTTTATATCTATAAAGGAACCTTTAGAGGCACATAAAGGCAGAAACCAAGTCAACTTTTTATCACCTGAAGAACATTTCCATGAATAAAGGACTAATGTCTAAGCAGGATCCAGAAAAACTAATTCATGCATTTATCTTAGAAATGATCACTGCAGCAGTATCTTCATTGGTTTGCAAAAAAAGTCCATCAGACAGCTGATCCAAAACACTGCTGCCCACGTTCTCACTAGAACTAAGAAAGCAGAGCACATCAGCCTGGTTCTGAAGTCCTTCCAATGGCTCCCTGTAGCTCAGAGAATAGACTTTAAAATTCTTCTGTAGTCTATAAAAAAAGATCAGGACCTCAATAACAAGTTTGTTGTCCGTTTATCAACCTCCCACATCACTCAGGTCTTTTAGTTCCAGCCTACTCTGTTCACCCAGAACTAGAACCAAATATGGAGAAGCAGAATTTAGTTCCTGTGCTCCACTGATCTGGAACAAACTCCCAGAGGACTGGAAAAGTGCTAAAAGCCTGAGTTCTTTTAAGTCAAAAAACACATTTGTTTAGAGCTGCCTTTGCTTTTTTTTTTTTTTAGAGCTGCCTTTAAATGTTCACTGAGGTATTATTAGTTCAAGGCTGTGGTCCAAATATTTTCTTTTATTGTCTACTGTAATTCATGTAAAGCCCCTTGAATTGTCTTTGCACTGAATGTAGTGCTATGAATGATAATTATTATCCTAATAATTATATTACATTCTATATAACCTTTTTTTGCCTCCATTTCACTGCAAATTTCTTTTCTTCTCCTGCACAGGACCTTTAATTGTCTTGCCACAGAAATGTGCAATAGAAATAAACTCACCTACTTGCCTTGGTGCAGTAGAAACACATGTGTGTGGTGCAGGTGGAGCCTGTGCTGCATCTACAAAGGCTAGAAATCCTTGACACAGCTGTTTGGGTTTGACTCCTAACCTCGGGGCCTTTGCTTCACCTTCTGCCCATTTCCTGTCAATAAAGTTCACTAGTTTTATT